AAAGTTATGTCTATAGATTTCTTATTATTTATTCAGCCTCGTCTTAGCCCCTTTTACGTGGGTTTAGCTTTCCCCAATCATGCGTTTTCCATTTTTTATTTCTCTAAAGTCTTGTTCCTCATCCAGGCGGTTTGAGGTCTTCCTCTTCCCCCGGTCTCCAGTCTTCGAATATTTGAAGAGATTCATATAATAGGTACTTGTATGTGTACAATAATGGAATATTTATTATCTCGAAGAATTTTAAATCGGTGGTGGGTTTAAGCTTCTAACGTTCTGAAATCTTGAAATGTTTCTCTATGATATCATTTTATGTAAATTAGAGATTTCATTGGCATAAAAACATGCAAATTACATCTATCTGTAGATTTAATATCTATTTATTATTGACTAAAGTGTTATCCCAAGGTGTTTTAGGGTTGTTTTCCATAATCGATTTCTCCTTTTGGTAAACTCCTCGCCAGAGCCGTTATCAATAATAGATTAGCTCCTCGCCAACTTTTACCTAAACCCGTTTTCTAAATGTCCCCAAATTTATTGCGGAATTATCGCATTTTCTTCCGTTGAGCATCCCGTTTACCTTTAAAGAAATAATAAATGTTTATTTTATTTATATTAGATGTGTACTTCAATATTACAAGCTTTTATTTATTTATTTGTAATTCCAACGTCTGTACATACAGAATGTGTGGTAAAATTATCGTCGAAATTCTGTTTACAAAATATTTTTTTAGGATTGCAATAAAATTATGTCTATCAAACGGAATACAGTCTGCTTAAAAATCAGTCTTTCTTTGTTTAAAACGCATTGTATGATCTTACTGTTTTTTACATAAGTTTATATTGTGACAAAAAGTTAGCTCATATTTTGAATATTTTCAGGGGTTTGATCAGTGTGTGTCTCATAATATTTACAAACGTGACGTGAGTGCGTAATGCGTCTCATCAATACGAAACACTGGCTATAATAGGTCGACATGAAAATTGAGAAAAATATTAATGACGCAAAAATGTCGTTATAAATTGAATAGATTCTTGTGGTTTTAAAACAAAAATTGCACAATCAAAAATATCTGTCATTATGATTATGAAATTAAGAGTACAGTTGTCCAAAATAACGTGAGGCAGAAGTCCAGAAACAGACCATGCCTGGGCTGCTAGGACATTCTAGAACGGAATATTTCTAAAGGGTAGACCGTAGACAGGTGGCGGTTCCCTGGTGGGTGTGGTGGTGGCAGCAGTGGGTCTGCTTGGAGACACCCGCGTCCTCGCTGCACGGGTGGCGTGCGCTCCTTGCGTTCTCATACGCCGCTGAATATTTCAGCAGCTAGACTGAGGAAAATTACAGACTTCGTTTCTACCCTCAACCCGCCTCCCTGACAATTACGCGTTTAAAATAATATTCCTTGGAATGGAAAAGAGGCTAAAGCAATTAGGTCAGCGCAGTATGATTGTCTCCAGCCGCTGTGCTTCCCACGACAAGTAGTGGCGAGGCCTTAGGAACACGTGGCGTCTCCCATCATAGGTGCCACTTAGATCATGAATACAGAATTACATGCAGTCTGTGTTGTCGTTGTAAGGTCTTTTAGGCCATAAACACATCTTTGTTTATCGTATTTTTATATGTGGGATGCAACTTCTTCTGAGTCGTTGCACTCTTGGTAGAGTGGTTGTGCGTGGTCGTCACGACTATGATTTGTTGTGGGCGGATGTCGCTCGCCCTACGATGTCTCCTAATCTTTCCCTGAGATGAATGTTTTATTGCAATTTTCTTCTTCGAATAGATTTTTTAAATATCACAGCAGATCAAGAAAACATTGCGACACCTTATGTTTTCGTAATAAATGCTATTTTGAGTATGATTTGTTGTGGGCGTATGTCGCTCGCCTTACGATGTCTCTCACTATCTTTCTCTGAGTTGCAAGTATTCTTCTTCATATGTCAGCAGATCATGAAAATACAGTGGCACCTTATGTTTTTATAATAGTTCTGTGCTATTTTTGATATAGCGCTGACTGTACAACCTTTTGTCCTAAATGTGGCTCCCAAAAGCATCTGACGAATATAGCTGAATCAGATGAGGACATTGCATGGAACTATATTAATTAATGATATTATCAAATTATTGTGTATCTAGAGACGTTAAATATTTTCCAAGAATTCCCACTATCTAAAGAAGAGTACGTTTAATAAAATACAATAAGACGGCACTGCGCTTTATTTTCGTTGTCTGGTGCTCAATGACTCCTCATGCGAGTTTGTTTCAAAGCATTTTTGTACGTATTTTTTGGAATTTGTTTCTTTATCGTTGATCGGTTTTNCATTGTGCTGGTTTTCTTTCGAAATTTTCGTAGATGCTTAAGTCGACGATACGATACTTGTATTTGAGACTAGATTCTACTGAAGTTATAATACCTAGCTAACTTAGCGTTTGAGTTTCAAACTTACGTCTCTTGAATTGAGACTAGCATGACTATGACACCCCTGATCGGAATCTTGCTCGACTCAAAGCTTAAACTACCTTGGCGCAGCAGTTACTATTGTACCAGGAGCATTCTTAAAAGTTCCTTGTGTTATTGTAGTTTAGGCTAGGCCTTATTCCTGAACCTACAGACTGACGTGGCGCCAGTGACAGTTATATAATCTTATGCTCCGTATTATGATATCTACTAGTGTCGTGTGCATTTTTGTTGTTAGTCCGTCGTCTAGGCAACGATTGTCTTTGATGTCGCCTCATCGGTGGGCTATTAGCTATTGACGAATACAAATATGTATGTACAGTCACGGAATGAAAAGGTTCGTCAGTTTTCAAATTGATTCCTTCAACGAATCGCGAGCACATATTACCTTTTGAAACTATGTTACAGAATAATCTCGAGTTAGAGAAAATAATCTTTAACTGTTCATCAGTTAAGTTCAAAATTATTCAGATCAACGTTGTTTGACGATTTAACTTGTCAAGAAGATTATTATGATTCATAAACTAAAACCTTCTTGTTGGTTCAACCTGCCATTATCTATTAAATAAAAAAACTTCATTTTGTAACATTGCACTGATGGGATAGAAAAATAAACAAGCAAAACCTTATTCGTTAGCAAACGTCAAATTTATTTAAATGTTAGCTGCAATGTTTCTTGCACGGTTATGTTGGCAGGTTTGACTCTTACAGTGCAAGCGAAAACCGTCACTAAGGTGACGAACCTTTTCATTCCGCGACTGTACAACAATACTGTATAGGTTGGTCCATACAATCATATTTGATTGTTTTGATTATTTCGGCGATAAGCTTTGAACTTTGACCTGATTGGTTTGGTAGTCGTCTGCTACAATGTCAAATAATGGGAATTCGACAACCACGCTCGGTAAAGCATAAAGTGGCCAGTATTTTTTTCGGACACCCTGTATTCAGTATGCGTTTGCAAAGAATGCCGATAATGACTCGCAGAATGTGTTCGTAATTTGGGAGATCTTTGTTACTCCAGATGGTGTTAAATAATTTTCAGACATGAAATCAGTAGTTTTATGACTCTGACGCACAGCTAAAAATCTATGACTAAAATTAGTGTTTTCCCGATCAATATCGTCTTGTTTTGGTAAAGCAAATTTTCTAAAATGGTTTTTGCGTCTGGGTGTGCTGGGCAATGCGAAAAATTCCAGTCTGTTATTTTGATGACAGATGGTGTGATAAGGCATACTTATGTACCAATTTGTTACTTAAGAATTTGAATATCAAGTTAAGGATACCTATTTGATAAACTAAAATAGGTGACCGACGCGACGACCGCTAGATGTTTTAGTTTTTATTAATGTTTCGTAAATGATTATTACTTATGTCTAAAGAAGTAGTTTTGACTTTACCATTACTATTGACAGTGTGACTAGTGACAATTGACTGTACAATCATTTATTGTGGTCAATTTGTTAAGTGAGCCAGTAGGTGGACATTATCGACAACTAACGACTGGGTCGCATGCGAACCACCACCTCAGATGGTTACATTAAAATAATTTATTACATGTTTTCTCATAACATTCTCCATAATTTATTATTTTTACACATACCTACTACATCAAAGATTTAAAATAAGTAATATCTATAATGTTTACTTAAAATCTTCTGGCATTAAAGATTGTTTTATGAGTTCGGAATAAGTTCCTTTGAGTATGAAGTATATTGTAGAGTCAACAGTACATACTACAATAATAACAAAATCCCCCAATTAATTTTGATAAAGATCAAAATTAATTGAGGGAGGGAGGCACTGAAAAGTCTTGTGTAAGTTCAATCCATATTCGGAAGTCATTTGTGGTTTGTTGATGTAATGTCGACTGCACACCCACATAATCGTTTGACAGTTAGTGGATCGCCTTTGACGTGTAACGTGTCGTCAGAACCAACAAATACACTCAAGACATTGTGTAAACATGCTCGCCTTAATGCAAATGCCTGCCCGCGATGTCTATCGGAGTTGTCAAACGTAGTAAATAGGGGTAGTTTCGAGGAATACACGCTGTGTGCACATAGCCCAACGACAGTCATTACTGGAAAAACCTTCCACTGTGTCACACTGTGGACAAAAGTTATTGAAAAATAACTTTTTTCACAATTAAAATGATTGTAATACGAAATTAGTTTACTGTGTCTTTTTAATTGCTTTTAATAAAGCTAAGCAAACGACAGACAGAAACCATTACAGTAGAGCTTTATTAAAGTTTTAGTACTTTGATATTCATGCTCATTATGATAGGTCAAATATAGGTTGTCAAGTTATGGTGAATTCATGAGTGACCCGAATTCTGAAACGATTCTCAAGTATACTAGCCGAAGCGTTGTCTTGAGCTCGAGCTTGAGTGGAGTTTCGAGCTGTTTCAGGATACGGATCCGAAAGAAGTATCGCAAGGGGTCGTTTCGGTATCTAGGCGGCTTAGGCATAGAACAGGGTGTCGTCTTGCGGTGTGCCTCGTTAAGTCTTCGTTTCCGGGGCACAATGAGAGGCAGGGTGTTATCGACGGGGCGGCGGGCGGTGCGCATGTGCGCCGCCGGCGCCTCGGTGTCTCGGGGGTGCCATACTAACGCCCGAGCGGAGCCCCACCGATGCCAGTCGCCTCGCGGAGCGCGCCCTGAGCGGCCGAAAGCAAAAATGATCCCGCACGCGGTCAACCCTTACACTTGTCAAAATGTAGGTTCTCGGAAAATTACCAGTGGAATTCCTATGTAAATTAAACTTCAGAATTTCAAAAAATTAACCGGCTTCTCTCTTGTTTTAGGTCTGCACACCCGAAGTCTAATCGCCAGCAATAAACAAAAATTGGTAAGTAACCCATTTTTTCTCTGTTACGTACACTTTGTGTCTGTCTTGACATAATTTATTTTCTTTAAGGTTCTGTGTTTGTCTTCTTGACATTATTTTATGTTCTTCGTAATTTTATTTCGTTTTGATATTTTATGGTTGTTCTGCAATTTTAAAGACACGACTTGGTTCATTGTGTGCCTATTATTTTCTATTATATTCTGTGTTTGTCTTGATACCTTTATAGTTTTGTGCATCTGTTTTTTAATTATTAATTTAAATTAAGTGGAATTTCATAAAAGTTTTTCGTTCATTGTTTTTCTATTTGGGCGATTTTTCTATCAGATTCAGAATTTCTTTTTTTTTAATGAGTAGGATTAGATGACATTTCATAACAACTTAGATTTAAAATATCTAAACATTTTCATGGGGATTTTTTTCTGATTGTTTTTACTCTTTTAATACAAACATATCGGGTATTTATAGAGTAAAATAATTACATAGTACTTTATTTATAATTTTCGTGGCGTGTGATAGATCAAGCTTTTAGTACTTGCAGCAGGTTGTCTCATTATAACTTTTAATTAGTGCGTGTGCTTTTTGATATTTTTTGCGCGCCGAGCCGCGTCTTTGTGCCACGAACACCTGCCGCTGAGGGTTGCTTTGCCGATCTCTTCCAGTCATTTATTCATGCTCGCTACCTTTACGCGCTCCTAAACTCGATTCTCGCTCAACCAATCGACTTGACTTCCGAAATTTATTGTAACACAAACATTCCGAGGGTCCGTTTTCCTAATAAAATATCCGAGTCACGTTAATTAGGGCTCGCATTTTATGGCTCTCAATTCCTTCGCAAATATCGGGGTTTTATAGGTATTCCGGCTGATTATTAATGCGGCCCAAATGACTCACAAGTTTGCAAAGTAAGCTGGCACAATAAGTTGTGTATTTAAAAGCGAAGTCACAGGAAATTAAGAAAGTTGTGCTTTTGAGGGCGGGTGGCGAGGTGGTGCTGGTTAGAAGTAGGTGGGTCTTTGTGCGAGCTGGCTGGCGGCAGCACCGCTCGCGCACCTGTGGGTTCACTGACCCCGCTCACCTGCCGCGAACTACGCAAATCCATTACCATACGCGAGGATTCTTCTTGTTGTACCTGACACCGTGATCCACTTTAACGCTCGCTATCTATCTTGTTTGACTATAGGCACTAAATTTAAATTACTCTTTATTGCGAATCATTGTTGAAAATTTACTGAACTTGAAATACGACTTTANTGACTTTCTCGTGTTCATGTAGGATTTTCTCTAAATCGCGGTTTTATTACTATACCTTTTTATACTTCACCGTATATTCTCTGTTGGTTCAAATATTACGGTAGTTTCTTTCAGCATATGCAAAATGGTCCTTCTTTCAGTAGTAGGTTGGAGTGCAGTTCGACTGCACATGCATTTGTTGCTGAAGTTGCGAGTGGCTGCGGCACGCTAACTTTGTCGCAATAATAGTTTCCATTGAAATTCCTGTCAGAATACGTACCTTTGAAAAATCCTCGAGCATTTCAAACATGCAACCTTTGCTGCAGTACGGTGAATGTCGTTCTCATTCTAAAAACGTATCATTTTAACGCTGCCTGCTTTGGCCGAAATAGAACCTTCTTTTTTCGTCGTATCTTTACCTGTTTTTTTATAAACTTTCAAGTGACGCTGTGAAAAAAGGGTACATTATTTTACCTGGAATTTTATCAAACTGGAGCATGGGAAAATCTTCCTAGTGTCCTTAAATTCGCGAATTATGTCTATTGTTACAACTTATAATGGTTCCAATTGTATTTTTTCTATAGAATTGGAGATTATAGAAAACTTGTAACTAAGTCCTGAAATAGAGAGCTAGTGTATCGACACTTTAAGTTGATTGGTCAGGGTTGTTTGTTTTCAAAATGTTTTATCCACGAATAAAGTTGGCTTGCAATTCATCATACAAATTAGATTGTTCTGGAGCTGTCTACAAGTTTGTTTGATAGTGAATATAGGGTAGCGAAATCGATACGTTGCTTTAGACTCCGTCTATCTGGCGCCACGTGAAAGAAAGATCCCACAATTGGGCTTATTTATTAAATTCTTGACGAAATTTTCTTGCATTTTACACTACAATAAGGGATTAGTGTAATGATAATTTTATTTTTTATCTTTATTAAGTAGGTATATTGTTTAGTTTGCAGCGTAAGGGGCCGTCCATAAATTACGTCATCGATTTTTTCAGATTTTAGACCCCCCCCCCTACAATCATCCTATCGTCATTTCTTAATGACCCCCCCCCCTTCTCCCAAAATTGACGTCATTACAAAATTAAAACACTTGGTTATAGAATCACCTTTTTTTTTAATAGATAGAGTGATTCTTAAGGAAGGTTTATACAGTGTGTGTGAGTCACGTTAAGGGTTCTTACACACGAACAGCATTTTGCTGTCGACGCATGTAACTGCAGTCGACGTCAGAAGGCGACGGCTAGCTGTCGACATGCTGCCGACGTGCTGTCGACGCGTTCGCGGCTACCGCCGGCAGGTGGCGACAGCTAGCCGCCTCCGCCATTTTGAAGGTCAACTGTCAGTAGTCCAGGAGCTTACACGCACACCTAATGAGTTCCGAACAAATTGATTCGGAATTGTTAAAAAATTAGTGCTGTCAAAAACAATGAAATAATATGGAACTCGAATTTAGAAGGCTACCATAATAAAACATTAAAAAATAGAGCATGGGCGTCGGTGTGTGTAGTCTCGTTCTCTATTCAATAACATTTCTTAAACCCACAATGACCGGTTCTTTCTCTTTCGTCGACGACGACGGAGTAAATGCAACAACAGTGTTTCTTCAATCCGCAGACCAACCCCCCCCCCCTAATTTAGAATGACGTAATATATGGACGGCCCCTAATTTGTGGCATAAGAAGTATAAAATAATTTAAGTATATTAGTAAACATTATCTTAGTTATTGTATGCGAAAACATATAATTGGTGTAAAGCTTTATATTCAGATAGTTAATAGTTAATAAGTCAATTAACACTGTTTGTTTTCCGAATAAAGTTAAATAAAATAAAAAAATGATAATTTTAATATTTTTTCTTGAAATGGATTTTGAATTGACATTGTATATTAATGGGGGTATATTTTTCAGGAAGGATGAAGCGTGACGCGTACGGTGATGATGGCCCCTCCCAAAAAAGGCAACGGCAAACAGATGACGAAGTCACCTTCCTTATTCCCAGCAAGGTAGGAGGAAAATTCTTACGCGATTCTATTTGTAGAAACATACAAAAACAAATAATTTATATTATTTTCTGTTTTACGATTTCTAAATACTGGATGATTTGCTAATGTCAAGGCTAAAGAAATTTCTCATATAGGGAAATCAAACTTCATGATTGTAGAATTATTAATAGTTATTATTTTTTGACAGAATTATACAAAAACTGAACATTTCTGAAGTTTTCAAAACTATCCCATTAAATTATTTGGTAAGGTCAGCTATATCCCCTTTCATGATAACTCACATTTGTGGGATACCTGTATCATCATTATCATTACCATTAGAGTATATTCCACTGTTGTTCTACGTCTACATCCTTGGCATTCTCTCCAAGTACAACCCATGCTATGTCATCAGCATCACTAATCGGCACCTTGATTCCAGGTGGCTGGTTCAATCATCGGGAAAGGAGGCAGCAATATTTCTAAACTAAGAAATCAGGTCAGTATTACGGAATTGAAAGGCAAGACATAGTAATCAAGAAGATCAACTAATTGTGTAGACTGTATCATAAATAGATACTAGTAATTTTACCTAGTCGGTATTTAATATTATTATTAATTATACGTCCATTAATCATTTCGCTTCATATAGGTAATCTCCGTAGCATATTTGCCTAATATATTCAATCTACATACAGGTAGAATGACATAAGTATCCATTCATACCTTAATAAACATACCGAGTACTATTATATTTTGATATAATATTATTTTACTTATCTATTAACATTTTTTACTACAGGTTCTACCAATCATAAGTATTTAAAAAGTATATTGCAATATACATCCTTCGGACCAAAATATGACCAAATAAAATGACCAACCAGACCCATTCGAGTGCTTTTCGAAAATACGGTGTTTCGCACCGTATCATACGACATTGAAGATATAGTTACACAAGACAGTAAGAAAAGCATCATGATCGCAAGTTTCGCTGGTCCATTTGGCCATCGAAGACTAGCGCCAGCGGTGCGTCCGTAGGCTGTAGACAGAATAACCCCCCGGCAGCCAGTTGCAGGTCTTAACGCCCCCGAGATGCTCTGTGCCTTGTAGCCCCCGCGCCTCGCGCTCCACGCACCTCACGCCTCCTCGACAGCGTCTCGCTGCCCCTGTCAGTCCTTGTCACCTCGAGCACAGTATATATATGAGCTAAAGCAGTACGGAAACTTAGCCCTTTCGGTGAGTTAAATACCTACACTTCAACTGAGTGTTAAAGTTGGCGCTCTTAATCTTTTTAAAATTAATAAGGTTCTTACTTACTTATTTATTAAAACGTTTATTTAGGTTTTTTAATTATCAAATACTTAATGGAATAAATTAATTTACTAAGTAGTTAACTAAAAAGTAAAACGTTAATTAGGTTCTATAATGATCGAATACATAATCGAATAAAGAGGCCGGTAGAAGATCTATTCTCATAAATAAAATACCGGATACTTACTTTCACACACCTATTGCCTCATTTTAAATACAGTTCATCACTTAGTACAAAAGCGCGGAGCAAATTACTTTATCAAATACTTAGAACACATAAATTGTTAAAAAGCGTAGTTACGTAATTTAAAAAGAATTATTACAAAATCAGATGTAAGCACTTTAAAAAGTAATAGGTATTTAATCATTTTTACAATTCAGAATTATTACGAAGTTTAAAAAATAAAAGTTCTGGTTTTGAAAATGCCGAGTTCAAGCAGCCGTATACTACGCAATACACTCGTGGCATGTTTTTAAAAATACAGCGGACAGCGCATGCAATAAAATTATTATTAAAAACACAACGCGCGCGACACTCGCGACGGATGGACTGCGAGGTTCGCTTAGAGCTCGTGTAAAGCGTGCGTCTGTGTGCGTGAGTCTGATTTCGAGCGTTTGTATGAAGCTTCCGTACTGTTTGATTTATCTACTGTGCCTCGAGTCTCCCCGAGCGAGTCGAGGAAGCGTGCGGCGAGGTGGAGTCGCGCGGCGCGGCGCTACAGCGAGTCTTGGTTGCCGGTCCCGCCCCGTGGACGCCGCTGACCCGAACCTGCCGCCCCGCCACGCAGTACAATGCCTCTATAACAGTCCCAGATTGCCCCGGCCCCGAACGGTAAACTATATCGCCAACATCTACTCTCAATTAAACAGCCCGAGTCGCGCTCTTTTGTACTCTCGTCAACAGTCAGGAGTCGGATCGTGTTTGAACTGTCTCATCAGCTCCCGGCGTCAGTCGCTTCATTCCGAACCGTCAACCTGTCCCGATCACGACACTTCACAGGACGATGCACTTATGATACACTATGCCTTCTGATCTTTCTACACCTCGGTGTTGCCACGTCTGTAATTCCAGATCATCAGCCACAAGAAACGTTCCTTAGGACTACTCCTATCACTCAATACTTTCTCCGCGATGGACGACTTCTTGAGTTTCGAATTCTATATCTACTGATTTCACGATTTCATCGCCATCATGCTTGTTATCGGCAAACAGACCTCCCTGACCGTTGATAATAAATTCAGCTGTTACTTAATATTGTGTTGTGATTTTTTTTATGAGCAACTTAGTACATATTTGATGTTATTGACAGATAATTTGTATTTCAGGGTTCTCTCAATAACAGCACCAGACGTAGACACTATTTTAGAGATTGTCAAAGAAATTTTACCGAGTTTGGCTGATGTAAGTATCTAAAATCATCGAAACAAAGTATAGGTAATGTCCAAAAGTTTCCTGATTTCAATGCCCGTATCCTTAATATAAATTATTTATTATTGGTTTTAATTACTAACTATGGTTTTCCCAGTCAGATTGGAAACTATTGGACTTATTACATAATGTTTTTTTGTTTTATTAATTGTGTGCCGAAATGGGCATACTTGAAATCATGAATGATAACTGAATTCCTTTGGCAGGGAGGACCGAAGGGAGGAAGCAATGAAGACCTGGACGTTCGTCTACTCATTCACCAGAGCCGAGCTGGCTGCGTCATCGGCAAGGCTGGCGCGAAGATCAAGGAGTTGAGAGAGGTAGATAAATAACAATAACAAACCAACAACAGTCAAATCCGGACTCTTCAAGGCGAGAGTTTTCTCCGGCTGCCAGTGTCTCTGTGACTGTCGAACCCAGATCAAAGAAAGTAGTTTCAAAATCGTTTCAGCTTTGGTATGTAGCTTTACCCATTTCACTAGTCACTTTAACAGGGGAGCAGATGCATCCGAGTTAGAACGTGGCCGTCATCTGCCGCGGTACAGTTATTCGTAAATAAGTTTTTATCGCAGGTATTCGGGACACGTGGTGCCCAGGGATGAAGCAGATGCATGTGCAGCTGTCGCCGCCGATCTTGAGCTTTATCTTTTTATCGGACGAGCCGATATTTAAATATGTAATTTACTTATTTCTTTTTCACTATTACTCTTTTATTTTTATCGCAGGTGGTTTACACCGATGTAGATATTTTTTTCTCTCTAGCCTTCAACCCAATATAATTACGTTCCAAACTAAAATGAATCTGCTTTATGTGTATGTAGCAGATAATACTCAAATTGGTCCTCCAATCTGTTTGCGAGGATCAAGTAAGTTAGCAGCTTTAATAGCAGTAGAGTGCATCCCTGTGCAGATCAATTACCGCGTCTCAACTTCCATTGAAGTTTTGAAACGCTTGCTGCGGCAAGCGGATGCTGCCCAACTTTGTAATTTGCTGTGTCGAGTCGGGTCTATTAACTTTGTGTTCTTGCATTCCATGCCAAATATTAATGTAACACACCTCTAAACTTGTCCGGGGATGGGTAAAAAATACAACTGATACGAATGTCGATGCCCCGAAAATGTTTCGGAACATTAGCTGTATCTTTTTTTGGCATCAGCTGTTCTTGCGAATCCTTTGTTCGGCGTTGAATAAAAGCTGAAGCCGTGCAGTTCGCGGAATCAATGAACGTTACCTGAGATGTGAAATTACAATGAGCACGTATAAAAGCACTGCTCGTACCCGCGTTAAAGTAATTTCAAAAGATCCTTTGACTCTATATTTAGTTTTCGGTAAATAATAATAATTGCTTTTATTTATCAATCGAATTTATTGTTTGTCTCTGTTGACAATCCAGTTTCGAATAGATTTAATGGAATTGGAATCTGTAGGTATACGTGAAATTATAAAACCCGAATCCCAGATCGTTTTAGAAAAAGTGCCGTCCGCATCGTCAAAACCTATTCGAGAATTCCTTTTTTGCAGCTCATACAAAGGCAAATACCCTAGTGAAAACCATGAATCGCGAACTTGTGTATTAGGAGTCTAGTGAAAACGATGATTAATCTGAATGTTGATGTTAGGCTATCGCGGAATCGCGAAGGTTGCGGTGTAAGGGTGGGCGCGTATAGTTGGCGCGTGTCGCGCGCGGCGGCGGCGCGGGCGCGGCAGCTGCGGGGCAGGTGCGCGCGCAGCCGCCGGAAGGCCGCACAAAAAGCGCGCGCACCTGGGCCTACCTACTTGCACAATGCCCGAGCCGACGACTTCTTTTCCTTTCTTACACAAATAGAATATCCAACATATGGCCCCGCGACTGCCCTCCTCCTTTGATTGCCGGCTCCGCTCCGAATTGTCAGGTACATTTTCATTATACGCGACTGCCACCATTCGCATGGCAACCCGCGACTCTTGTAAACTTCGCGACGACTTTACATTATTTCGCAAATATCTCGGATCCTTTTGTAAGCGGTGCTTTGTAGAATCCGTATAAACTAATGCTGAAGTTCTCGATTGTGCGGGTAAACAATAGAAAGCTTGATATCGTAATTTACCCAAAGGGTATCACGTGTGATGGTGGTCGGTGGGGTTTCATCCGTCGGAAGAGCGCGGCGCCGGGCTCGGGTTACCGGAGCTACGCGCACGTGACGATGAAAACTTTTTTTTTGGACGGACCTCATATCCTTTAAATACGTGAATGGGGGAGTAAAAAATAGTAAAGCGGATGTGCTTCTTAGATAGGTTGAAAGCGCGGTGTTACCAGCTGGCGTCTGTGATACAAAGAATTGTTTTACGTACAATCTATATTCGGTCCACTTAGTCATTAAAGGTCGCACCTAGTAATGAAAACGTGTTCAGCAATAGCGCATAAGTGTAATTTGAACGGTGCGCGCATATGTCGTCGTGCAGCGTAATTAGCGGCGCCGGCCGCGGCCGCTGGTGACACCGCAATTACGCGCGGCACGCGAGCCGCTTCCGCCGCCGCGTACGGCTTCCGACCAGCAACACCGAATATTATCCGGCTAGAGTATTCCCGCTGGCTTCCCATCAAAATGAGGGTACCGAAAGCTTCCCAACTATACGTCTATTTTCGACCCTGGAAGCGGTTGTATTTGTTTCTGGTATCTTCTCTTTGATCAACAATATGTCAGCCGCGGGGGTGGTAAAAATTTGGATTTTGTGACTGTCTAACGGACATCTTGAAATTCGTCTTTACTCTTTGCCCTTAAATGGCTGATCCCATCTCAAATAGATCCCGTATAAGCTGAATCACTGTAAGTCAATTTTCCAATTCGGTAAAAGAAAGTGCTCCATTAAAGCGGCAGCGGATTTCAAACCTGCAGACCGCGATTGTAGCTACTAACCATCGGCCGTCTGTAAATATGCCAAAGTCATGTTGCTGTCAATTTAGGGAACGACTGCTATTTAATTGACAATACTGCAGTGGTTTCACCCTATAGAAATCACGAGGCATTTGTGAGCGTAGTTTGCCAAAATATTGATGCGGTAAAATCGCCGGCGAGTTTGTTGAACCGTAAGTTTGTAAGGTCTGCATTATCCTTCAGGAGGGGTACCGGGTCTGGGGTGACAGATGGCTAAGGCGAGGCGGGTGTCTTGGGCCCGGCGTAGGTAGGCCGTAGGCGGCCGCGGAGCCTCACAAGTGCACGGGAGGGGGCGAGCGCGGCAGGTGATGCACGCTGCGCCTCGGCCTAGCCGGCTCATTATTCCGCCGTCTGCCGTCCCGGGTAGACGTGCGCCCTCCCCTCTCGAATCTGGGTCACGTCGAGCGCGATAAAGAAAGNAAAAGAAAGTGTTGAATTACATTTTATTTTAAATTTCATTACAATTGGAAAATTTAATAAGTGCAGTGTTTTCTCTAACGATGGGGTGTCGTACGAGTACAACACACCCAGTGTTGTCGGCGGCGGGCGTGTTGTTTGTGCGTGGCGGCCACGTGCGCCGGTCGATGCGGCGGCGCCTGCGCGCCAAACGTCACGAGTGAGGCCACGGAACACCCCGCGGTGACTCCGCCGAATATAGGTAAATGGGTTTCGTGTAATTAAAATTACTCGACTGTCATGGCTCGTATTGATTTCATACGAAAACCGGCCGGCCATTGAGCGATGGTTGATATACGATGAATTGATAGCAAAATTCTAGGAATGAAGTTTATATTTTCGACTGGAAATTTTCGAGTATTTTTAGGGCTTTACAGAAGATTCTCTCGGATATAGTTACATTGAATTTCGCAAACGTGGATGTAGGATCTACATTTTAGATGTCAATGTGTTCTTTGTTCTTTCCTCTGGGAACTTTTGAACAACTTCTTTTTAATGTCCATGGAATTAAAGTATAGAGGCAACGAATGTGAATGTATTGCATATTGCGCTCTTTTTGTAAATTCCCGATTATAAGATAAAATAATTCTTTACAAGTTAACAAATAGGTAGTATGCGCATATATCTTTCCAAAAGAATGACTCTTTTTCATTGGGTTTGCCTTTGCTTAAATTTCAACTTCAGAAGTTTATAGGGCTGATTAAAATATGGATGAGCTTAAAACTGTTACAAGATTCTTGCGCTTAAAATACCCTGGAGCAGTCGGCAGATGGAGTTAATTGATTTTCAAATACAACTGTCAAAGTTCAAATTCATTATTCATGGATTAATTAATAATAGTCGTGAGAAAATGTGGAAGGTGACTCTATGACTTGATATTTTAGCAAAAAGTTCAAAGAGAAACTTTTAACCCTTTTTTTACAATAGTCCGTCGTCTCGTGACCCCTCGTCAGCTGTGAGCTGTGGGAACATTGTTTCTTCCGCGGTTCCGGCAGAGGACGTCTTAATTAAAGATCTATCTCAAGGGTGACAGGGACACTTAGATGTATGGGTGTGTTCCAGACCTTATTACTTTGGAATAACAACCCTATTTTTAGATTCGTATTTATCGGTTATTGGCTTACGTAATTTTACAACATTCCGTTGACTCCCTTTGTCTTATTGGGATCTTCGCATTCATAATGATAAACAAAAACAATGCTTCCTTAGCCCCAATGATCAGAGCAGTCACCTGACTAGGAAAGGTCATGGATTCAAATCATGTTCCTTATGTCCCCCACCCGCGAACAAAGCTTTTTAACGTTTTTCGTAAAGCTGAAAGTCGGATCTTGCATCGTTACCTTCGATGCGAATGCTCCCAGTGAAGGAGCGCGCGCCCTTAGCTTAATCGGTTTTGAGCTAGTCTATTAACCGAAACAATAGGACTCGGCTCGGCAGTTCTGGGTAATTAAGCGGCCAGGTCGCTGCGGCCAACTATAGGTTTAGTTAAGCGCGCTCAGTCAGTGCGGTCTTGTATGGGAGCGGAACAGGAGGGTGTTTCTGAAACATCAAACGTCAGTAAGACTTCAGATTATGCTTCCGATTTGTATGCTCTCTCACGTCTTAATATTATTATGTCAATGTCACCCCGCCCATGCCGCACCCATACCTGGCACTGACTGAGAAGCGCTAGAACTATAATTCTTCGATGGTATATGTAAGTGCGCGTATTGCACGACCAAATTTCATAAATATTTCCAGCTGCAGTGGGTTCTTTAAGGCTCTCCGTGCGATTGGTCCCTTAAAACCTCCCAAGGCGAGTCGGTACTACTCACAGAGATATAGAGAGATGCCAACTAATGCGCTGAGTTCGAAACTCATTGTCGCATTAGAAATTCACACACACAAAGTAATCAAAATATGTGCTCATTATCCACTGCGGTATCAGTACTCAACGTTCGAATAATCTTTAGTAATACGCAAGCACTGTAAACTGTTTACATTATGACGTCGCTGCTGTCAGCATTGCTGTCACGAGCAATGTGTTCGGGCATATTGCTGCGACACCGGCCCCGCCCTCTTGTCACATCTCCCTTTTGTTTTTGTGTTTGGTACTAAAGCCCGGTCTGTAAGCACGTAGAATTTTGTCCATTGACCCCAAGCTACCCATCCTTATCGCTCGCGTGTAATTATATTGCTGTCGCGACTGTGCGACGGGCGCCCGCAGTGAGTGTGCGAGCGCGACAGCAACATGGATAGCTTGGGGTCATTGGACAAAATACTACGTGCTCACAGACCAGACTCTACTACATACCTTGAAAGTGTTAATCCATGCGTGTATGTTGGCAGCAAACCGGCGCTCGCCTGAAGATCTTCTCGAACCCGGCGCCGCAGAGCACGGAGCGCGTGGTGCAGCTCGTGGGACGCGCCGAGTGCGTCGCGGCCGGCGTGCGCGAGGTGCTGGCGCTTATCCAACAGGTGGGTACCGTATACTCTTTACCCAGTCTAGTTAACTGCAACCGTGACGTCACTAGTAGCGGCGTAAGGGGGGGAGGGGGCGGTCCGCCCCGGGTGCCAAGCATCAGGGGGTGACAAAGTCGCGCAGATTAGTACTCACTGACGCATCTGCATGGCAAGGACGGTCGTGATGTCATGACAGGGGGGGTGCCATTCTGGGGTGCCTTAGGCTATAGCCGCCCCGGGTGCCAACCTATGCTACGCCGCCACTGGACGTCACATCGACGCTCTGGTACGGATGGGGCGAACGCAGGGAGGAGTCATTCCAGCGAGGTGCGCAGTTAACTCGACCAGGTTTTAAGATACTCTTTAGTTTAGTCGACAAAGATCCATCTCAGAAGTGTGCCCTATCGAACAAAAAAACATTTAGAAAATCGGTTACAAATTGACGGAGTAATCATACATAGAACTAATATGGAATAAAACAAATATGGAAGATAAAATCTCCTTTTTGAAGTCGGTTAAAAGAAGTAATTTTATTGAATTTATACGAATACTAGCTTTTGCCCGCGGCTTCACCCGCGTGAAATTTAGTGCCACTGATTCGCATAAATTATAGCCTATATGTTAATCTGGGTTACAAATAATAATACTGTAAAGTTTCAACTAAATCCGTTCAGTAGTTTTTGCGTGAAAGAGTAACAAACATCCACACAAACTTTCGCCTTTATAATATTAGTAGGATTACTTTGTCTAGAGCAGTTCCTCAAGAATTAATTGTCATAATATTTGGTCTTGGTTAGGCTTTTCATCTCTAGTCCTTTCTATTAGACACGATACGATTTTCAATAAATATTATGACGTGGCATTCCAGGTACCCATCAAGGGAGCGGTACAGAACTACGACCCGCACAACTACGATGACTTCTACGCCGAAGAGTACGGCGGCTTCGGAGGCGGCCAGGGGACCGGCGGCGGCGGCGCCAGCCGGCCCGGGCCCCGGGGGGGCGCCCCGCCGCGCGGGGGGCCAGGCCGAGGACCCCCTCCCATGGGCCCCGGCCGCGGTGGCCCCCGAGGCCCTCCCATGGCCCGTGGGCCCCCTGGCGGACCTCGCGCCAGCTTCAACGACTTCGGCGGTCCCGGCCCCCGCGGCGGGTTTAACGGCCCCCCGCGAGGAAACTTCAGCGGCGGCAACTTTGGAAGCAACTTTGGCGGTGGCGGTCGCAGCGGAGGCTCTGGCGGCGGCAACTTCAGCAATAACGGCGGCAGCCAGCAAGAGACCACTACGCAAGTTACGATACCTATAGATGTGAGTTATCAACTTTTACCAATGGTGAATCGTTGCGTGCGATTCGCGCAAATAGCATTAGGTTAGCACACTGTTCCGGTTCTAACGGCGTAGAGCATTAGGGTGCCCATGTCGATGCAGTCAGATTTGTAAAATAAAATGAAAGGCGTCGACGTAGAAGACGACACAAATGATAAATGAAGAAAAATTTACTGCATGGCTGAACTTAGCAAAACCAATCTAAAAGTTTTTGTAACGATAGTCCAAATAATCTACGTTCTTCTTACTCATACACTCAGTTCACCATCATCATTTCAGCATACGACGTTCACTGCTGAACATAGGCCTCCCCCAATGATTTCCATAATACACGTTGGTACCGTACACTCAGTTGTCAATGAAATAAGCTCGACGTCAAGCAAAATTAGACCCTATTCGTACCTCAACCAAAGCCTCTAAGGTCGCAAATCCTCCGGGCAGGGCGGGTCGCGCATCCGCACCATAGATCATCATTGTCATTTCAGTCATACGACGTTCACTGCTGGAACATAGGTCTCCCACAATTATTTCCATAATACACGTTGGTAGCGTACACTCAGTTGTCAGTAAAATACGTCCGATTTAAGCAAAATTAGACCCTATTCGTACCTCAACCAAAGCCTCTAAGAGTAGGCGCACACCATTGATTTTTCGTCGGCCGATAGTTTAGTCGGGCAGTTGATCAGTATGGGCATGTATGGGAGTGCGCACACTACGCCGATTCGATTTGGCCGATTCTTCATACAAATTAAAATCGGGCACAACTATCGGCCAACTAAAAATCAACGGTGTGCGCCTACTATAAGGTCGCAAATCCTCCTCAGCTGGCGGGCGCGATCATCGGGCAGGGCGGGTCGCGCATCCGCACCATAGATCATCATCGTCATTTCAGTCAGGGCGTTCACTGCTGAACGTAGGCCTCCCCCAATGATTTCCATAATACACGTTGGTAGCGTACACTCAGTTGTCAGTAAAATACGTCCGATTTAAGCAAAATTAGACTCTATTCATACCTCAACACAAGTCACTGTCTACTCACGGACATTGCCCGCGGGCGGCGTGACCGGAGGGAGCGGCGAGCGTTCGGCGAACGAACGAGCAATGTTCGGTTCGCGAGCGAACATCGAAGAAGACGATCCTGACGCACTCTCTTCAACGACTTTGCACTAAACGGTCTCGATAATCTTGTGAATTTATACCGAATAGATAATTAATTTCATACAGTCGACTCCTTTTCATTTATAACTTCCACTACACTCACTATCGAAGTAACAGTCACTAAGCTCGCAAATCCGCAGCTGGCGGGTCGCGCATCCGCACCATAGATCATCATCGTCATTTCAGTCATACGACGTTCACTGCTGAACATAGGCCTCCCCCAATGATTTCCATAATGACCGGTTGGTAGCGTACACTCAGTTGCTGTCAGTGAAATACGTCCGATTTAAGCAAAATAGACCCTATTCGTACCTCAACCAAAGCCTTTTAGGCAGTTTTTCCCAAAGTGGGCGATATCGCCCCCTTGTGGGCGCTGCAGGCTTAAAGGGGGGCGGTAAGAGACCCAGAAAAAAAATCGGGACGTTGTGTAGAGGCTTGGGAGGCGTCATCCACTAGGAGGACTCTTAGACACCGACTGAGCTCGACTCTTGACTACAAAAATGGGGGGCGCTAAAAATAATTTATTCTCAAAGTGGGCCAGTAGACCAAATAAGTTTGGGAACCACTGCTCTAAGAGTAGGCGCACACCGTTGATTTTTCGTCGGCCGATAGTTTAGTCGGGCAGTTGATCAGTATAGGAGTGCGCACACTACGCCGATTCGATTTGGCCGATTCTTCATACAAATTAAAATCGGGCACAACTATCGGCCAACTAAAAATCAACGGTGTGCGCCTACTATAAGGTCGCAAATCCTCCTCAGCTGGCGGGCGCGATCATCGGGCAGGGCGGGTCGCGCATCCGCACCATAGATCATCATCGTCATTTCAGTCAGGGCGTTCACTGCTGAACGTAGGCCTCCCCCAATGATTTCCTTAATACACGTTGGTACCGTACACTCAGTTGTCAGTAAAATACGTCCGATTTAAGCAAAATTAGACCCTATTCGTACCTCAACCAAAGCCTCTAAGTTCGCAAATCCTCCGGGCAGGGCGGCAGTGGCACCCGGGGCGATCACCTCCCCCCCCCGTCATAAGTCCTAAGGCACCCCCTGGTTCCCCCCAGGATTTTGGGGTTACCTACCGATTCGAAGATTGAAAGACAATGGAACCCTGTATCCATGACATAGACTGCAGATGCGCCAGTGATACTGACTTGTGTCACCCCCTGATGCTTGGCACCCGGGGTGGACCGCCCCCACCGCCCTCCCCTTACGCCGCTAGTGCAGGGCGGGTCGCGCATCCGCACCATAGATCATCATCGTCATTTCAGTCATACGACTTTCACTGCTGAACATAGGTCTCCCACAATGATTTCCATAATGACCGGTTGGTCAGTGAAAAATGCCCGATTCAAGCAAAATTGTACCTCATTACAAGTCACTAAGGTCGCAAATCCTCCGCAGCTGGCGGGCGCGATCATCGGGCAGGGCGGGTCGCGCATCCGCACCATCCGCGCCAAGAGCGGCGCGCGCATCGAGATCGCCGAGCCGCTGCCCGGCTCCTCCGACCGGATCATCACCATCACGGCCACGCCGCCGCGCATACAGATGGCCCAGTATCTGCTGCAGCAGAGGTGAGCTAATAGGGATGTTTCCTGGGTCAAAAAGCAAGAGTTTTAATTAGTCCGTCAGTTAACTTATCAAAAAATACTCTACACGTATTTTTCACTTTTTCAAACTAATGAAAATTTTAAGAGATAAAGCGCCCCAAAGTTCATAAGAAGAGGCTCGTGACGTCAACGCTTGCTTAAAAATGCCGCACGTTGTGACGTCGTGCGCAACTTCAACGCACCATAACTATGTAATTATTTGTTAGATTGACAAATAAAAATATATGTGTCCAATATTTTTTGATATTAAACATTACGGACTAAAAAAATTTTTTTAGGCAACTAGCCTATTGTATCTGTGTATCTATCTGTGTGTGCCAGTGGTTCTTTACCTTTAAGGCCGAGTTTTTTGATTCATAGTTAAAATAACAAATTGTTAAATTTTGCAACTAATGGTTAAATATTAACAAAATGTTAACTAATAGTTAAAAAATTTACTAAAAGTCAAGCTAACCATTGTTCGAAAAACATTTTTTTCTGATATTTAATCACTTGTCATTTGACATCTGTCAAATTTGACTATAGTTCCAAAATACTGGACTGTCCTGTCGATGACATTGACAGTGGGGCGCCACCGTCAATACCGGATCGCTGGTTCAGATTTTTGCCATGTTGGAAACCATATAGTTGAACGATGGTAGCGCCCCCCTGTCATTGAGTTTGGTGGGACAGTTCAGCGTGGGTCATCTATATTGGTTATTTTAACTACGAATCAAAAAACTGGGCCTGTCACGAGGGACCATTTTAGCAAATTTCTGTCTTGTCAGGGACCACTTTTTTTTTAATTCTATGAAAGGCGATGTCGTTCTCGCCAACTGTGCGCCCTTTGCGTTGTGATGACCCGAGTCATCACGTCACGTCACTTGTTTATTACGATGTCTTCGTGGACCACTTGGAATGCCTCTAGGGACCACCAGTGGTCCGCGGACCACCGGTTAAGAACCACTGATCTAAGCTGTATGTTTTAAGACGTGTTTAGACCGAATAACACATTTTACTCGAGTAACATGAATTTAGCCCATATAACACACGTTTAGACCGAATAGCACAATCGAACATCACGTTTAGCCTNTTGTTAAATTTTACAACTAATGGTTGCAAATATTAACGAAATGTTAACTGATAGTTAAAAATGTACTAAAAGTCAAGCTAACCATTGCTCGAAAAACATTTTTTTCTGATATTAATTAATCACTTGTCATTTGACTATTGGTTATTTTAACTACGAATCAAAAAACTGGCCCTAAGTCACGAGGGACAAGCAAATTTCTGTCTTGTCAGAGACCAATTTTTTTTTTAATTCTATGAAAGGCAATGTCGATTTCTCGCCCACTGTGCGCCGTTTGCGTTGTGATGACCCGAGTCATCACGTCACGTCACTTGTTTATTACGATGTCTTCGTGGACCACTTGGAATGCCTCCAGGGACCCACCGGTGGTCCGCGGACCACCGGTTAAGAACCACTGATCTAAGCTGTATGCTTTAAGACTTGTTTAGACCGAATAACACATTTTACTCGAGTAACATGAATTTAGCCCGTATAACACACGTTTAGACCGAATAGCACAATCGAACATCACGCTTAGCTTGAGTAACACACGTTTAGCCCATATAACACACATTTAGCCCGAATAATAGACAAGGTCCGAATAGCACACGTTAGCCCCGATTACACACATTTAGCCCAAAGAACACTTGTCTTGCGCAAATAATACATGTAGCCTAGCGATGGGCGATTATTACAAAATTAATCGAATTATTCGAATGGTCTCTATAATCGAATGTATTCGATAAGCAATCGCAGTCATTCGATTAGCGCGCATTATTACTAACGAATAACATGATTCATTCGGTCCTGTAAGCGCGCGCCGCGCGGTACTTAGACGTGAAGATAGGTAAATAGATTTATCATTCGATTGTCGATTATTATTATTCGATTTTTTTTTTCGAATTACTAAATTGACAATCGAAAGTTCGATTGGTCGATTGTCGATTCATTCGATAATATTTTTTTTTTTCGAACAATCGCCCATCGCTAATGTAGCCTGTATAACACACGTTTAGTCCGAATAATACACATTTAGGCCCGAACAACACATAACACACGTTTAGGCCAAATAACACGTTTAGTCCGAATAATACACATTTAAGCCCGAATAACACACCTTTAACTGGTATAACACACATTTAGCTCGAATAACACACGATAAGAGCCGTGACATACATAATTTCAATCTTTCTGTCTCAAAATAAACGTTTTATTGGTACAATAGCGCAAAAGAATATATATTTTTTGTTGCAAAATAACACTTATTTCAACTGAATAAGACGCCGCTTGATGTGCCGTCGTCAGTACATTAATTAGCATACATATCAAAACCTCATAGAAACCATACTAATTAATTAGCTTCGTCTGTAATATTTTAACATGTTGTTGGTTAAGGATTCCATAATAATTTGTTTGTTATTTGCCATTACTAACACTGCATTGTTTTGACGATAGAATGTTTGAAGAATTCCCTGCGTTGGCCCCAAACAAACCTAAGATTTAAACATAGATAAAGGATTAAACTGACGTCGATGTTAGACTCAGGTAAAATTACTTAAAATCATGTAGATTTGTGTGTATCTCACAGGGTATGTAAAACGTAAATTAATTTTGTAATTCCTTAGTTGATTTTCATAATTCAGTGGTACTTTATAATTTGTGAATTTCCTGTTAGTTACTAATTCAACATTTTAATTTTAGTTATTATTATAAAATGAAACCTAAATAGGTTATCGTTAAATACGAAATTAATGAAAACACTGAATTATGAAACACGAGTAGTTAGAAAAATGTAGTAACTGGGGGTATTAGATTAAGTTGTAATATTTAATTGTAAGATTGTGAATATTATTTTATTTTGAAAACTTAAAATTGTTACTGAAATTACATTTACTAACTGTTAAACATTGGTGCAAATTCATAATAAGTTAGAAAGGAGATCGGAAATTGACGTGGGCCATATAAGATTTTCTTTTCATTTCCATTACCATGTTCACTAGTATTTAAATTGTACATATTCACATTTCTAATTCATTTATTGCTTTGGGTCGATGGACGACTATTCCATTCTCCTTTGTAACACTTTCTTCATTTCATTGTGACTAACGACTGTGGTGAATAACAACATTTTTAGGGTGTCATCGACTAACGGGCGGCGGCCGCTTGCGGCGCGTTGTATGGAAGACTAGTGATTTTGTTGTTTTGATTTGACTAACAAGGAATCACTAATCTGCCTACAAAGCGTCTGCGCTCTCTTCGGAAGAAGACTTCTAAGATGTTCTTCGTCTGTCTGTACTAACTTGTATGTTGTTGTGTAATTAATTAACATGTTTGTGATAATTTATTCCTTCATATCAGATTTTATCTTGTAATATATCGGTTTAAAATCCAGAAAATTAATGCATTTCTTTATTTACAGTGTGCACGAGAGCAACCTGAATCACAATCGCGGGAACTTCTGATTCTACAATAACTTATACAATATCAATTAAACTTAAAGCTTTATGTTAGCCACCTCAAATTCCATAACGTGTACAATCTGTAGCGAGGCTCATACCATTTTATAAATGTACTTTACTAGTGTAAAATATAACTACAATAAAATTAAGAAAATAATACTCGGTTCAAGAGTAAGGCTGGTAACTATTTATATTTGTAACCAAAATCCATACTAAAAATCCTAAATCCAAATGTCATTTATATTGTTGAAATCTGCTAAAGATTATTTTATATTCGACGTGTTTCTGGTGAAACTCGTGCAATGCATTTATCAATATGAATTATTATGAAGAGATATTTAAGTAAGATTGTGTGATTTACTCATATAATTTGTTACATCGATGTATTTCTAAGTAAATAGAAAATAGTATTCAAGTAAATAGTTTATTTTGTGAAGAAACTTGTTTTTTTTTATTCACAACCTTGCATAATCCCTNCAATCCCTACAATCTCTCCCGATCTCAAATGAAAACTTCCCCTTGACCTGTAGAAGGTCGATGGATCAGGATAACTTGAGCGAATCCACACCGCGAAAAGTCATTTGCGCGTACCTACGTATACGTGCACAAAAAGAAGTACGAGTATCCGATAAAAGTACTAAAGCCTGGTCCGTGAGCACGTAGAATTTTGTCCAATGACCACTAGCTACCCATCCTTATCGCTCGCGCGTAATTATATTGCTGTCGCGACGCGCGCCCACAGTGAGTGTGCGAGTGTGAGCTACATTTATTTGAAATATTTTTTATTATTATTGATAAAAATTGTGTATTTGCGTAAAATAACTAATTGCGTTTAATCGCGGTTGGGGGAGGGGACGCGCATCCACGGACGGGCAAACATAGCGCGAACGGGTAGTAATTAGAATTATTTAATTCAAAAATACCTACTGTTCGCGCTTGTGGATTCGTCCAAGTGTTTTGACACGCATTATCCTAGGAGTGCGAAATCATTATGTATGTCTATAGGGGGTTTAAGGACATGCATATCTTCGTGATCATACTGGTACGTCCAAGCCAAAACCAAACCAAATTCATGTCAATAAGCTAGACCGGCTCCTCGACAACTGTATCCGGTTTATATTCTGCTTGCGCAAATATGACCACATTTCCTCATTCTGGTCTAAGCTTCAATGGTTACCTATACCTTTTCGACGAAAAGTCAGAATCCTTTTGACTTTTTTTCAATCTTAAAAAATCCAAATTATCCTTCTTACCTAAAATCCCAATATACGCTCCTCAGTTCGACTCACTCTCGTCAACTACGTTCCTCTAATACGCTTCTTCTTTCCACTCCTTCTCATCGTACTGGTTTTCTTTCCAACTCTTTTCTTCTACATTCCATTCGTCTTTGGAACGGTCTCCCTGAAAACGTCAGGCAGGCTCCCAGCAAGTCCACCTTTAAATTTCATGTNGACGGCGGCGCCGGCCGGCGCTGCTGGCGGTGCCGCGCGGGAGGACTAACCTGCTCAATAAAGCGCCGTTGACGCGCGCCATTTCCACTCTCAATCTAATTTCGGATAAAATAGATATTTTTTCCTGTACTCTGAGTGAATTTACAAAGGCATCATTATTTGTTATATGTTATGTGTAGGTTTGTATGTAGGTGATTACTAGTTGTGTATTTGACGTTGTGTATGTTGATGTGTTGTCTTCGCTGTCGCAGTGGGATGTCCTGTAATGACAGTGAAGTGTTGTTGTTGTGAATAAATAAAAAGTACGTAGTACTTATTATTATTCTGTGATAATAGTCAATAGCCACAACAATAGGGTTATTGGAATACTTGAATTATTTCATATAGTTAACCATAACATTTAATTGTATGTTTCCAAAATTGGCAATACATTTTATTTGCTGTACTTAACTAATGCAGGTAGTTTTAAATACAAGTGAGATTATTATTGTTAGTTATTTGTTTAGTTCGTAATTCAAGCGTAACATTTTAAATACTGTAAAAATAAATTTAAACATACCCAATACTATTGCAAATTTACAGACTATCGATAGTCTAGAACAATCGATAGTATCGATACTATCGATAGCTTTTTATTCAAAAGCGACAATACTATCGATAGTATCGATACTATCGATAGTTTATTCTTCACGAGCAACAATACTATCGATAGTATTGCACATATTCAATAGTATTTCCTCGTTTTGAGCTATCGATAGTATCGACAGTATCGATACTATCGATAGGCCTATCGATGGAGAAGGCTTTTACGAATGAAAACTATCGATAGTTCGGCAACACTATTACAAACAAATATCTATCAAGGTGAAAAGCGAAATGAATTTTTTAGACAATAAATTGTAAATAGCGATCAAAAATATACTACAAGAATAAAAATTTATTCAGAAATTTTCATATCGCGGCGAAATGCGAATAGGTGAAAAGCTATAAGGATTTTTTGATTTCAAGGTATACGACTAACAAACGAAAAAGAAACAACAGATATTTGAATCCCTTTTATATTTTATGCAAAATTTAAGGGTGGAGTATTTATCATCACAATATAAATTGAACTATACATACTTACATTAGTTATTTTTTAAATTTATACAGTAAAAATTCATAATCAAGGGATATTCATATTGTTTTTACATCAATATTTATATTGATTTATTTATATAAAAATCACATTAGGCTGCTGTTTCTCAGTTTAATATAAAAATTATTTAAAAATACCACCACAACTTAAAGCTCTTCAGTCAGATCATGTTAAACAGTCCTCTGGTCAGGTAGAATTTTCATGCTCTGGTTTATGAACATTAATTAAGATGTACAGCAAGGGAACCACAAAACAAAGTATTAATATGACGCATGCTAGGTGAAACCACTTCAGTCCAAAATCTGCTCCATGTGACGTTAGTTCCTTCACTACAACAGCTTCTACTGACAATTTTGGTTTGTTTGGTAATAGCTGTGTGTCTTCAGACACTGGATCATTCAACTCTGTGTCAGTAAATGGGACAACAGAAGGGGCCAGCGTACTGTTCATGACAACTGTGTTGCAATCAATAGCATAGTCGGTATTGTTTATTGCTTTCTCTTCTCTTGGCAAGTTATCTAGCATTGGCTGTCCATTGTGATTGTTATTGTGTAGGAAATCTTGCACAGGTATAATTGGCACATGACTTGATGTAGATGGTACAGGTTCGGCTTGAGGCAAAGGCAATCTCTCGGTCAAAACAGAGTAGGGAGTGACAGGCACTTTAACAGTTCGCCTTGCAAATATCTCATTATCCTTATGGATTTGATTAATCCTCTTCAATTCTGAAATCTATAAAAGTTTTTGTTTTGTTAATTGAACAATAATTAACAGTTTTTATTAATTCTACATGAAACTTGGGGAGAATTGCTAATGCAAAGAAATTTAAAATATATTTTTAATGTACCTATTTAAAATCAAGCGGTATTGGAAATAATAAGAAAAGTTTCCTCATCAAAATGTCCTTGTTTGAATAACATTTGTTATTTTTGGCTGATAACTGTCTGAACAAATTTCAGGTATGGTTTTTCCTGAATCATTATTTGTAAAAATATGACATCAAAATTGCTCCATATACCTACTGGAAAAAACTAGAAAAGAGGAATCTCTAAACTCAATGGCATTATCTAAAAAAAGATTCTATCCAATACTTTGTGATACTGTACTCTTACTATTTTTGTTACTGATAAGCATGTTTAATGATACTGTAGCTTAGGGGGGTAATGGAATATCAAATAATGATAGTTCGTTCACAAAGGATTCAGATAATGAGAATTGCAGGTGTTTGTAGGAATTTGAAAAAATATTTGCAATGCCATGTACTGAGTAAATAATCTTAATTCTCTCCATGTATCTTCAATTCATCATTTATCAGTCCATAGAGGTTGCACTGTGAGATAGATAAGCTTATAAATGAGATAAGTTAGACATACATTCCACATCACAACAGAGCCTTGATTGTTTTTATTTTTTAACATGAAACAAATGTANGTAACAAATGTACTATAAAAAAAACTTCCTAAAAAATGTGGAAGGAAACCCTAAACAATTAAATTGAAACTTACTGAACAATAAAATCTCAAAGCGATTGCTTGTAAAGTATCGCCTTCCTGAACTTGCGCTTCGATATAGTGTTCCTGCGGTTTCATCTTGTGTAGCTGTATTTCACTTTGGTCGTTGTCTTCCTTTTTGTTGTTACCCATATTGTAAATAATCAGGTCATCTCCGCTGTTCATTACACGAGTTCTAAAAGATGCGCACTGCTGGTTAACACGTAAACAACAACAAATACTTACGTTCAAGTAAATCACTATGTACTACTTACCTCTGTTTCATTTTTTAATACTACTCTAGCACTAAGGATAACTAGCATGACCTAAACAATAAAGTAGTTCTACCTGGTGCCTTTTTATTGAGAATTTAGCATTAGAAAAACTACGAAACAGCTGGTTCTGTATCTTTTGTCTACAAGAGAAAAAATTGACTGACTGCTGCTGACTGACAATTTAGTGACAGCTGGCAATATTTCTTTTTTTTTTTATACTTTCATAGACAACGGCAATAACTTTTTGTAACGAATAACGTTATATTATTTTGTCGGCGCCGGCGGTTTGGTGTAGTGACTTTTTCTCTATGGTGTAGTGGTTCAGAACGGACTATAGATGACCCACGCTGAACTGTCCCGCCAAACTCAATGACAGGGGGGCGCTACCATCGTTCAACTATATGGTTTCCAACATGGCAAAAATCGGAACCAGCGATCCGGTATTGACGGTGGCGCCCCACTGTCAATGTCATGCATAGGACAGTTCAGTATTTTGGAACTATACTATCTATGCTGAGAGGTTCCGGGTTCGATTCCCGGCCGGGCAGAAATTGAAATGAAAAATTTTAATTTCTGTAACGGGTCTGGGTGTTACTATGTATAACATAAGAGGAATGTATAATATGTAGGTATTTACAAAAAAAAAGTATTTAAAGTATGTTTATATCCGTCATCTACTACCCATAGTACAAGCTTTGCTTAGTTTGGAACTAGAGGCGCAGTGTAAAATGTCCAAGGATATTTATATTATGTTCGAAACTACACCACATACAGAAACACTTATCATCATGGTGTATGATGGTGGTATGGATGGTGTGTGTTGTGTACCTAGTCTTCTCTTTGATTTCTCTCTTCATTTCTGAATTTGAGAAATTATGTAGGTATAATCTTACTTAGTACAGGTAGCTGGGGTAGCTACTTAGCTAGTGCAATGGCGCCAAAATGCCCAGTACCCGAAGCACGAATAAACGTTCTCGATGGTAACAGTTTATTTTGTTTTGAAAAACAAAAAGAAAAACGCCGCGCTGTTGCGATTATTTTAAGGAATACGATTATGAGAGTTATTCGTACCGAGGGTAAAGATTAGGGAAAATATAAGAGTGCCAGCCATGTGCCATAAGCGGTCGCGGTAGGTAGACCCTTCCCTTTATAGTTATTACAACAAGTTTTAGCATTCGCTTATTCCAGAAATCGATGTTTAATTGGGTCCTGTTATTATATCGCACAAATTCAAAAAATAAAGCTCTAAATAATAAGGCCTCCTACTAGGTGGACCGACGATCTGGTAAAGGTCGCGGGAAGAGCCTGGATGCGGGCAGCGCAGGACCGTTCATTGTGGAAAACCTTGGGGGAGGCCTTTGTCCAGCAGTGGACGTCATTTGGCTGAAAAGAAAGAAAGAAAAGAGAAAGCTCTAAATAAAACACTACTTTACGAATCATTTCGTTATAATTTAATAATTCCGAGTATTTTACACAACAGTTACAGAACATAAATACCTTTGGTATTGCGCCAGAAGTGGTAATAATAATTGCACATAATTTATTTCCTCTAACTACATTATGTACAAAAAATACAATAATACAAAAACTAACTTTATCATCACTATGTATAGGTAACATCATGATTATAATGGGTATTATTTAAATTAGTATAAGTGCTTATGTTATGCTATGACAATACCTATTACAAGAAGCGAATTTATAATTTAAAGAACAATTTTATTGATAAGCATCAGGAAAAATATTGAACTTATTTTCTTGAAAAGTGTATAAAATGCTATTAAAACCACTTTTGCTCGAAGAAGCATTTTTATTTATGAACAGTAATTAATTAATAATTAATGTAAAGAGTCATAATCAATTATAAATAAAGTAAATAATACATAAAATATATGCAATATCATAAAATATCACAGAACAAATAAATGGAATTAGCTGATTTTTATAATCACCTACTTGTTTCACATTAACACAATTTAATAAATTTGCGGATGTCATTTCATATGAACAATAGTTACACATAAAATAAACACTGGAAGTAATGTTTGTCGGAGCGTGGTAATTGACATAATATTTACGTCACTGTATATCGTCAGAGTATTTTAAAGCACGCAATACAGAATTATACAACAACGTGTCAATATAACTCAACTCATTATAATATGTATTAGTTTTGCTGCTTCACACAAAAATGACCCAAATATAAAAAAGTTTATAATAGCCATTATATAAAAAAAGTTTTTTGTTTAGCAAAATATTTACAATACCAGTGAAACAAGTAAAATGACTTTGTGCCCTCACATTCTCCTAAAGTTTGAGTATTGACTAAGAATGCATTTTCTACCATGAATAATAATATAAGTGAGTAAAACCATAACTTCATTGTATAATAAATAGCCTGCCATTTATCTTAAGCGACTGAAATAATTATTGCTCATTATGGAAATGAGAATAATACTGACTTAATTAAATTAAAAGCATTAACACACTCCGTTGGCGTACCATAGTATGATGATCCAAACCTCTAATAGCGAGTACATTAGTGTACTCTTAAAATAAATTAATAAATTGGAAATGCACTTATAAAATGCGTTAAATACTAAAAAAAGGTTGTCAATAAAGGTAACTGTTAAAAAATACAAAGCATACGTTAGTAAGGGTTTTCACTTACCTACAACGTGGAAGGTTTATTATAAATTCATTAGGTACACAAATGAAGTCAATATAGCCAAAGTAAAATTACCAATCTACGAAGCGTTTTAACAAATAAACGTCGTATAGGGCGTTGCTTATACATATCACAGGTTGCGTCTAAAGGCAAATACAAACTTGGAAAGTGATCTTTCAAGTTCGTATAAGTCTTAACATAATACATAATAATATACGTAATACTAGGTGACGATGGTCATTGGGTATACAGCCTAATATAATACATTAATTAATAAATAACGGCACGTTATCTTACGACTAGGGCTTATTCGGGGAACATCATGGGTATATTTATTAAATGTAAAATACATATAATTGAGGGGTATAAATTAATATCTTCTCTAATTAATTTGGTCTTATATTTTATTACGAACTTGCAAAGCGAAGTGAATAGTTGCCGCCTTAGATTAAGCACTTTTAACAAAATAGATTTACACCCATCAATTACAGTAAGGGGAATCGCTAAATAGTTGTAATATACGAGATCCTTGGAAAAATACCGAATTGTTAATATGGCAAGACCTAAATACATGTCCGCATATATTATGTACTTCTTTGAAAGTCGTTGACGTTTTATCTAGTCACATATTCCTCGCTAAATAAATAATTGCGGTATCTTGTGTTATCGTAACTTGTCGGCTACATTAACGACAGATCAACTGCATTATTTACTGTGGTAAGGTGAAGCTTGGAGGAAAATATGCGGCCCGACATATCCAATTCTACATTCTCTCAAATGGGGTCAAATGTGTTGTGTATAAAAGTTTCATAAACACTGATTTAGCAGGTATTGTTGATACAAAACTTTTCCAATTAATAACTTTTTGGCTGTACAAGTTCACGAGAGAATTATACAGGGTGTTAGGTAAATGGGTATATGAGCCGACACTAGTCCATGTTAACATGGTCATATAAATGGTATGGTGAAGTCAGAAAATTGATATCTTCATTTTAATTATTTTAATTTTCATACAAATCGGATTTTATAAAATTTATTTTGTATGAAAATTTAAAAAATTAGAATCATGATATCAAATTTCTGACTTCACCATACCATTTACATGCCTATGTTAACATGGGCTAGTGTCGGCATATATACCCATTTACCTAACACCCTGTAGAATTGGAGATGTTCGTCAATCGGGTCAAAGAGTAACAAAGCGGACAGAGCGGACGGCTCACGCGTTACCGAACCCTTGAAAGTCGCCCGGCCAGTTTTCGCGGCGCGCGGCGCGGTCCGAACCCGTGCACGCGAAGAACGCATCGTTTTCAAACGGGTCCGATTCCCGAGTGAAAATATTTACCGATTCGGATTTCTTGATGTCTCTATGCGTAGGCTGCGGCTTGGCTCTTAGCGGGGCCACATCTTCATCCTCCTCCGCGATGGATGCGGTGCGGCCGCGTGGTGTGGACATGCTCGTGAAGTCGTCCTCGAACATCGACCGCGGCGAAATCGAGTCGGAATCGAATCGGAACCGCGTCGCCGGGGAGTCGGCATCGCCGCGCGCTCGCGTACTGCTCGCGGACAGCGGTGAGGCTGTCGCGTCTTCGGGGTCGAAAGCGAATCTGTAATGAGGGGTATAATGAACAACCATCCATCTTATTGTCTTAACCTGATGTTCTTTGCGAGCTTTGCGTACTATTAAGGTTGTAGTCAAGAAAGTGACAAATGTACATGTAAAGCTATTACCTCGAGTAACTTCACCTCTCCAGGATGGCTTGAATTTAGTTACACTTTGGTTGGTGTTAGGTTTAGTTCGCCAGTGAGTAATAGTGTGAGCTTCGTTGTAAATAAAAAATAACAAGATGGAGCTCGCGTCAGATGTCCCGGGGTCATTGACCTAGCGGTATTCCCGGCTCCCGCGGGGTCAGCGACCTCACCTGGCGCCGTCCAGGCTGCTGTAGGGCGCGCGCTTCTTGGGCTCGTGCGGCGGCTCGTGGTCGAAGGGCGAGGCGTGGTCGCGCGGCGGGTGCTAAGCATCAAGGGGTGACACAAGTCGCGCAGATTAGTACTCACTGGCGCATCTGCATGGCAAGTTTGCAGTCTATATCATGATGCGGGGGGGAAAGGGGTGCGATTGTCTTTCAATCTTCGAATCGGTAGGTTAACCCATGCTGTCGCTGGAGAAGCGGTAGTCGCGGCGAGTCCGCGGCTCGCGCGGGTCAGCGACCTCACCTGGCGCCGTCCAGGCTGCTGTAGGGCGCGCGCTTCTTGGGCTCGTGGTCGAAGGGCGAGGCGTGGTCGCGCGGCGAGAAGTCGCTGGAGAAGCGGTAGTCGCGGCGAGTCCGCGGCTCGTCTCGGCGCGAGCGGCGGCGCGGCGAGCGTTCGGGCGAGCGCCGCGTGCTGCCCGAGCGGCGTCCCGGCCAGCCCAGCGTTGAGCCGTATCTGGTAACAATAAGAGTCAATTATGCCGTGTCAATACATTGGTTAAAGCAGCCCCCCTAAAGCCCGGTCGCCGAGCACGTAGAATTTCGTCCAATGACCTCAAGCTACACATCCTTATCGCTCGCGCGTAATTATGTTGCTGTCGCGCTCGCACACTCACTGCGGCCGCCCGTCACACAGTCGTAAAACCTAGTAATCAGTGCAAATTAACGCATCATGATGAAACAAACTGATGTAAGGCGATACTAGAAAGTACAAAATTTTGGTTTTGAGACCAGAATAATAAAGCTCAAAAATTTATTTAAGTACAAAATGTAAAAATATTACCTCCTGTCACTAGGGTCTTCACTTTGTCTCATTTCTGCCCTGCGCCTCGTTTCCCTCCAGCCTAGTGAGCCGTAATTTCTTTCTGAAATAGAAGACATGATTTATGAGTTTTACTTCTCACATCCTTAATACAATAAATAAATTTTACCAATAAATAAGTAGTTTACCATCTTTCCTCCACCGTTGGTCTGGCCACCGATCCCGCGGCGACGATCTGCCTGACCCACAGCCATCACTGTAACTAAAATAAAAACATCAATTAGTTATGTCCACAGCAGCAGTACTCAACAAATTAATGTTAGAATAAACCAGGGATGGCGAACCTTTAAGTTTGAACGTGCCACTATTTAAAAAAACATTGAAGTAATCATAGACACGTGCCATTAAATTAACACCTAATGCTATCAAGTGGCACCACTGGTGAGTGACACGACCTTACTCTACAGTGGCACTAACTGATGACGGCAAATACGATAGCTCATAATCAAAACACATTATTTACTATTGAATTACTGAATTTGTGATTGGTGGCGTGCCCAAAATATTATGTCGCGTGCCATTGGTTCGCCAACCCTGGAATAAACTATACTTACTCTTCCTCCTCGTCATAAGAATGCCGCGGCTTCCGATGCCTATCCCTGTCCTTATCTCTATAATCCTTCGATCTCTCTCTACTCCGCGAGTCCCTGTAATCTCTATCCCTACTGTAATTCCTATCTCTGTCCCACATATCGCTGTCCCTATCCCTACTCCGTCTATCCCTCCTTTCTCTATGGTCCCTGTGGTCGCGCTCCTTGCTGACGTCACGGCGGTCTCTCCCGCTGCCGGAGTCTCTTCGGTCTCTGGCCGAGTCTCTCCCGTCTCTCCCTATTTCTCTATCTCTATCCCGCATATCACGTTTGTCTCTGATTTTGTCCTTTTCTCGCCCGCTGCCCGAGTCCAGACATTCTCTTGAGCCCGCTGATGAGTTGTGCCTGAAAATTATATTAAAGTAGGTTCACATTCATTGTTGATAATTTGTCAAGATAACCGTAGTAGCCTTACTACTTAATCTGTTCAGGTGAGGATTCTTGGATGGCTCAAACTTGGAGTGCAAGTGTGGTTTTGTTCCCCAGTAGACGAAGCACATGATGTCGTGCCCTGCGTGCCCAAACAACTGCACGCAGAAAGAGTTAATGAAGGCTACTGACAACGCCATTCTTGTGGCGGAGTTTTGGGCTGACGCTGTGTAGGTTAGGTTAGGTCACGACAAGAAGAACATTAATTTGTCAAGATATAAAACTTGTTACAGAATTAATTATGTGACAGGTGCCAGTGATCTCGATAAAAAGACAATCTGTTGATGACTGTAGAAATTCTTGAGCCCCCCCCCCTTTGTCCAGCAGAAAACTTTGAAACGGCGGCATAATTAATTAACAAATAAATGATGTATAGAAGATGTTTAATGTTTACCTTGAGTCCCTATCGCGGTGGTCTCTGTGGTGCGAGGGCGGTCGCTGCAGACGTGTCACTGGAGGTAGGTCCTCATCCCAGGGCGACACGTCTCGGGATGATGATGACGTTTGGACTGAGGATGAAGAGAAAGACTAATTTTGAGAAAACGAGAACAGTTTTGGTCTTCTCTTACTATTCATTTTATAAGCTGTGTGTCTCAACTGGAAATAGAAACTGAAAACCTGTGAATTAGGCCTGAATTGGAAGAATAGACCAACAAGTAGGCTCTCCCCCAATGATTTCTAAATTGGACGGTTTATAGCAGCCTGCATCTAGCGCTTTTCTGCTGCCTTTATGAGGTCATCCACCTATGTTCAGCAGTGATCGTCCTGTAGCTATAATGATGATCACTCACCGTTATGGTTTTTCGGCGACGTCTCACGGCGGTGGCGCGTGAAGGTTTCACGCCTGGCGTTTGACGTCACAAAATACCCTGCCATGGCGCTCCTATATCTCAGGCACTTACTCAGTTATGGTTTTATGTGGTTCTTGGGCGGGGTCCTGCGCCCACAGCGCCCGGGCCTACATCGCACACGCCTGACGTCACAATAGAACCATCGCATGCCGCCCCATACCTCAGTCACTAACTCAGTACGTACAGAAGGTTTTCATCATGAAGGTATTTAAAAAAATGTATGCTCAATGTCATCAACAATATGGTGTAATTTAGCTTGTCTCAAGAGTCAGGTGAAGAATACGCGTACGTGCGTCAAAGCTCGCTCGTAAGTGTCCTGTCGATTACCTATCCCAGGAGGTGTCGTCGCGCGTGTTTTGTTTCCGATGCAGACTCGCGGAGATGAACAGTGTGCTTACCATGAGTTTACGTTAGGTGTGCTCGTTAGCGACTGCGTAAAAAAATGTCATTAATTGTATGACATATTGTGCAGCGCCCCTAGCGGCTACTTTCAAGAAACAAAATCTTCATAGATATTTTTGACGTACTCGCTATCGAGCACACCTAACGTAAACTCATGGTAGGTACACAGGCATGTTAGTACTTACCGTTGTGGTTTTTCGGCGGTGTCCCGCGACGTCGACGCGCGCGTGGTTCGGAATCGCGTGAATCCGAGGAGCACGGCGACGCTCCCGCCAGCACGGCCCAGCGGCCGGCACCTACTACGCCCGGGCCAACACCCACGCCGCCTCCTACGCCCACGCCGCAAACGCCTACGCACTTCTCTGCACAAACAGAATGGAACATTTTGTAAATCAAATCTAGTAATTAGCAAGATTTAGGAGGTCCAAAAGTATCGATGCTTAGAGATTTAAAAAATAGTAGCTGCATCAATCTTGAGCTTACATTTGCTCTATGACTTTCACAAGTTACTAAATTAAGATAAATGTTGATTGTTTATACTCAACATCTTTAACCATAATTGGTATATCATCAAAATGGAGCAATAAAGAATTTGAATACTTTCTTTATGTATTATTTGTGATTGTTACATGTTATTAATTGTGCTTAATATATTAATAAACAAGCACTTGCAACGCAGAAAAAAACAACATAACACAATAGGGAACATTTAGATGTAATTGTCGTTAAAAATTCACCTCGACGATTATGGTTTGGAAATAACAATACATTTATTGCTAGCATTATGAACTTAAAAACTAGAATTTTAAGGGCTCGGCATTTAAAAGAGTTTCGAATAAACTGAAGAAGTGTTACTTAGTAAACATCAGAATATTTAAGAAAAATCTAAATCAAAGTTACCTTTAGTATCAGGAGATGACCCGCTAGGCACGTCGCTGATGGAACCCGTGGACAGTCTGGCTGGTGGCTGCAGATCTCTCACCGGCGCTAACTCCACTGAAACCTCCTTAAGAATCTCCGGTTTTTTCTCTACCTCCCTCTCTTTCACCACTGGACTCTTCCTAAACGCGTCTTCCACGTGCGAGAAAGAGAGCGAGCTATTGTCTATGCAGTCGAAGAAGTCCGAGTTGTCGAAACCATCCGACTTCTCGTCCGACTTTTTCCGCTCTTTTGGCAGTTCGGGAGGCAGAGACTCGAATTCATCCGCCGGCTCCGTTATCGTGATCTCCCTCAGAGCTGCGTATCTATCGTTGGTATCCTCTTGCTTCACATCCACGTTACCGTTATCCCTAGGCGATACGCTCCGCCTCTGTTTCTCTATTTGCAAAGTCTTCATCACAGATTTGATGTCCTCTATTTTGGCGTCGATCTGTGACGGTTTCGGACTGACAGAGGTTCTAAACATATTGAAGGAGTCCAACGTCAACTCGTCGAGCGTTTTCAAAGGACTCCGCGAAGTTTCTTTCGCATCGATTTTCCGCTCCTCGTTTGCTCGCATAATGTCATTTATCGCGGTCAGCTCCTCTTTTTCATCGGAATCTTGCTTAGTTTCCATTTCTACGCTGTCAAGAGGATCTAATATAGATTTGGCTTTGAGTTCCTGCTCTTGTATTTCTCTGAACGCTGCGTATCTGTCGTAGGAGGGGTTCGCTTTTTTGTCGAAATCGTCGAAGTTCGCTACGAATGTATCACTTGTCTCGCTCGTAGGCGCGAAGTTGTCNTTTCATGTGCGCAAACATTTTCTCGCTAGTGTTTCATCTTCATGATTTCTGTTCAACCTCCTTTTTTTCTCCCTTTGTCATCCATCCTATTATAATATTAAATAATATGTATGTATTTATATTATATGTTATTTATGTAATTATTTTTTTCTAAATTCATATTAATTTTATACCGCCTACTTTATTCTCAGTTTGGCCCTAAGGTTGACTGGAGGAAAATGCCGAAAGGCATTAAGTCCGCCTTATGTACACAGTTCTATGTGCATATAAGTTTTAAATAAATAAATACGTCAAAGTAGTGTGACCACAAGGAAAACGAGGGTTATGTAATGGCGCAACGCGACCGTTTGTTAGTCGTATACCTCGAAATCAAAAAATCCTTGTAGCTTTTCACCGTGATAGCGTTTTTTGTTGTAGCGTGTAATATCGGTAGTATATTTTGTTACTAGCATTTATATTTTTAACAGATTTTTACAACAGTAGCAAATTTTGATGTAGCATGTATTTTCAATAGCCTATTTATTAAGCCGCATATATTTTGAATAGATTTTTACAACAGTAGCAAATTTCGATGTAGCATGAATTGTCAATAGCCTATTTAGTTAGCAGCAAGTGTTTCGCGATATGTAATAAGTTATTACAGTATTATCCCATCCCAACTAATATTATAAATGCGAAAGTAACTCTGTCTGTCTGTCTGTCTGTCTGTCTGTCTGTTACGCTTTCCCGCTTAAACCTCGCAACCGATTTTGATGAAATTTGGCATAGAGATAGTTTGAGTCCCGGGAAAGAACATAGGATAGTTTTTATCCCGGTTTTTGAAACAGGGACGCGCGCGATAAAGTTTTTCTGTGACAGACAAAATTCCACGCGGGCGAAGCCGCGGGCGGAAAGCTAGTTACTAATAACGCATTACAAACTAGTGTTGCCGATCGATAGTCGACTATCGATAGTCTATCGATAGTCAAACTATCGCAAGACTATCGATTGGCCTATCGATAGTATCGATAGCTCAAAACGAGGCAATACTATTGAATATGTGAAATACTATCGATACTATCGATAGTATATCACAGAATAATAATAAGTTAATTAATAATTCGTCTTAACACGGGTTTGACATTTCGGGAACACATCGTCAATGTCTGTAAGAAGGCATTTTGAAATTTAGGGTTCATTCTAAGAAGTGTTCGAAACTTCGCGAATGTTAAAGCGATCATTCATTAACCTATACAACGCGCTGGTGAGAAGCCAACTGGAATTTAATTCGGTAATTTGGGCACCACATGAAGCTAAATATACGCTTATGTTAGAAAAGGNACCGCGTATCTGTCGTAGGAGGGATTTGCTTTTTTGTCGAAATCGTCGAAGTTCGCTACGAATGTATCACTTGTCTCGCTCGTAGGCGCGAAGTTGTCTTCGAATTGCGGTTTGAAGTCAGTGCTAATTGAGGGGGCGGTAACTAAAGGCTTATCCGGCAAAATAGTCGTTGGCATAGCTGACAATGGTTTTTCTTTCTCCGTTTTCATGGAAGGCTCGACGTGAATGTGCTGCGAATAAGGGGATGGCTATTACGAAACGTATGAAGTGATATGACTAAATTGTAAGTAACATTTGAAATAAGAAGAATAAAACAACATACCGCTCTTTCATTGTCTGCGGCTAGATATGACCTGAGGTATTCTGTAAGCTGAGGTAGAGTCATGGAAGATAGTGTTGTGGCAGGAACTCTTAATCTGTAAATAGAGAAAATAGTTGTTAAGTTCTTTGATGCTTTCGTTGTTTTAAATAAATTTACCTTAGGTATCTGAGTCATTTTGGAAACCATATCTCTATTGGAAGCAGGCTCGGGTTGATGCACAACCTTTCGGCTGAGAAGCTCAAATGAAGACATTGTTGCTGGGTTCACGAGTACCGCATAATGAGCCAAGTGAGGTCGCGGCACGGTGGTCCATCATTATAATTAGCGTCAGAACCGATAGTTATTATCTTTGTTAGACTCGCACACGCACGCAATGATGAACACCAATTAAAAATCGTGGTCCAAATTGAGTGCTGCCGTTTCGTCACAACTAGAGAGATGAACTTTGCGCTACTCGAGACTCAGTTCAAAAGGAAGCAGTCCCTAATGGATTATTTTTATTTAATAAATTCTGTTGCTTTGCACTCAGCGGTGCTACTCGAGACACGCTCAGCTCAAAAGCACAAAATATAACAGAAGGTAAACTCATGTATGTACCTCGCTTTGCATACCTCTCTCGCTCGCACGCTCGGCCGTCGCGCTAGGGTTGTCTTGTCATGTGTTGCGTTTATTTCGTTATGATAGAAAAATGTAACTCTTAATACTATGCAAGAAAGACAATAACAGATATCCACGTATACTTATTTATATTTAGTACGTTATTATAGTAATAGTTTGCAAACAAATACACGAGAAGGAAGTAGTACCTATTTAGTTGAGTGGTTGACACTATTATCCNTTATGAAAATTAAACGAAAAGTTACGATGACGGAACAATTGTATTGTGGAAAACCCACTCTAATACAAGCAGTTAACTTAGCACCAGGGATTAATTTGACTATTGTTAGTTTTGTACAATATTAACTATTTTTTTAAATTGATAAGTAGCTAACCTACAAACATTTATTTGTACATACAGTAGTCACAGTAATTTGTGCACAAAGTTGCGGGTAGTAGCATTTTCCGAATAATCGCGTCGTAGGCCGTGGGTACGCGGATCGTGAGTGTTCTTAGAATACTAATGCTGCTTTATGGTGAGGCATTTGGACATAGCCTAATTAGAACGGTAAAGTCATTGGGTTCGCGAAATTTCGCTAAATGTTAAATACCTACGCAGCGAAATTGGTAATGCGACTTATGTTACAAGTTTGTAACTAGCTACGTACGAGTGGTCCTTCCACTTACAGAGACTTTCTAAGCACACGTAGGTCTAAATTAACATTATTTTTTGCAAGGAAGCCGTTAGCCAGCATCACACATTCGCTTTATTTCTTTGACAGCGACCTCATAAAGCAGGAAGGCGCTGGATGCAGGCCGCTACCAACCGGTCAATTCGGAAATCATTAGGGGAGGCCTACGTTCAGCAGTGGCAGGACATTGATATTGATGATGATTTGTTATGAAGTGTAATAGCATAAATAGAAAGAGACAAACTTTTAGTTTAGTTTACTTTACTCTTGATAGTAATCCCAATGACAGGTGAACTCGTGTTCGACTTTAACTGGCCGTTACATTTAGGCTGTAGTTCGGATCTAAACTGACTAGTTAGCCTCGGCAGTCGGCTTTCTGGGAACCGGCGTGACATCATGCCCACTTCTGTTGCAGAAAGGTGTATATTTGCATGCATATTGTTCCGTTTTTGGCGGTATACAAATAGAGGCGCGTATCAGTTGAAAATAAATTTTTGGTGAGTTTATCTATACAGGGTGATAGTAAAAAGTGATACTATTTGTCGCTTTTCGTCACAGAGTGAATGAAGTTTATGAAAATGACATAACATTATGCAATAGCTAAAAGTGTAATAAAGGTATCTTGAGCTGAAAATCAGTGTTATGCTCATTTTTAGAGCAGTGTCTACACTGAGCTCTCTATTTTTTTTGCATCGCTACGGCACGCTTACACCTTAGCGCAGAATTTTTTTTTATTCCTTGTAATGTACAATTTTTTCTTGCTACTTCTGTGTTTATTAGGTACTCTTACTTTTTTCTTATTGTGAGTCAATGTGTTTTGCAAATAAACCTTGTATCTATCTATCTCTCTTATTTATTTCATTTAGTAAATTATAGTGTCAAAACCAGATGAATCAAATTAGTTAAATTTTGAGTTTTATAATTTCGATTTTAATTTAGTCCCTCTTTTAAAATCCAAGCTACTATACTATTGGTGCGTGTCATCATTTCGACATTTTCGACATTGTAGCATCTTTTTTTTATCTCAGTCGTGCTACTACGTTACCGTAATGTACTCATTTATTTACTTTCAATGGTTACTAAATCTGTAACCAACAGTTACACAGCGCTAACGAGTGGACAAACAAAACTAAAAGTCAAGGCGCTAAGTCCACAGGACTACACAAATAGCATAGTGACTCGCTCTTGACATTATCTAGCTATCTATCCGATGAGTAAGACATAGACTAAAATTAGCAGAATAGACTGAAGGTCGCTGTTTTTTACCTAATAAATTCACCAGCGAAAAGTAAAAGTTTCTGGATAAAAGTCAAAGAAACTAGGTATACTCTACTAATTACTTACCGCGAAAGTTTGTTACGATAGATGATGGATGTATAGTTGTTACTTTTTTGTACAAAAACTACTAAACGGATGATAAATAATTTGTACTTGTATGTACCTATTTACTTATAAAATAATAGAGCATGGGCTATAAATTGTCTGATCACACTAATTTATAAAAGCGAAAGTTTGTGAGTGTGGTGTATGTTTGTTACTTCTTCACATCTAGTTATCTGACACCCTGGATTAACACATGGGCTACATTTCACATACGTAACACTACGGGGCACAGCTAGTATATTATTTTTTCCATCCGAATGAAATCGGATGAGCCATTCCTATGCTTATGATTAAGATTATGTGTGAAATTACACATAATCTTCATCATCTATAATATGCTAACTAGCTTAAAATAGGCGTTCATATCCTAGCCAAATATTGGTCAAAGATAAAACAAACAGAACCGACATGCCTAGTTTAATGCCTAAAATAAAGAAGAAAGTTTCGGAAGCTCTCATTTCACAAGTGTCACCTCTACAAATATGGCGGCCAATCTTTTAAAAAGGCGACATTAGTGATTGTTTGTGGTTTTACTTGTGCTTTTTGTCTGCCTTTCTTTTTTTCCCACGATCCGAGACTCTTGAACCTTGGAGCTGGATTTGGTCAACACTTTTTTGGGTTTTATTAACACTTGTTTACTTTTTGAGACTCAACTTGATAATTTAAAAGGTGTCTGGAATCTTTCTATACTTATTATTATTTGCAAAAGTAAGTAGTTCTATTTTTTTCTGTTTCATTCATTTGTATATTTAAGCTGCTGAACAAGTTTCGATAAATTTTAATATGGTCAAATTGTAGACCAAAGGAGACTGAAATAATTTTTGACGCAAAAAATCTTGAATAGACTGTATAGGAATTACATTATACTGATTTATGTACGGCAAATATACGGCCTATTAGTTTAAAATACCGATATTAAGTTTCAAGAGATAAAAATATAAAATGAAACATTATCTCGTGCGATTGATAAATTAATTAATAATGTTTTATTACTTTTAAAGTATGCTAATTAATTTATACGTCCCACAATTTTTATACAAAAATAATTTAAAAAAAAACATCAAAACGGGTGCGTCACAAAACCAGTATGTATTTTTATTAACTCGATTCAGTTTGATCGATGGCCGCTAAAATCGTTACAAAGTTGTTACAATTTAATCAAGTCGGTTCCCTCAGTAATCGAATCGCCTTCAATACCATTATAGAGATGATGTCATTGAGTGCATCTCATAATATATTGAGCAACTGCTCGAGTTCCCGATGATCTTATACAGGATGTGTGAACAATTATTTTAATATTATGTTTGTGTTGCTATCAATCATTATTTTATTTTGTTTCTGGTCTGGGAAATTTATTTGGCACCTGTAAGTAGGTGTATTAATGTAATTAACGCAAAATCTACTCAGGGAAAATTTTGGTACAACAAAATTAAATGTTTTTTTTGCGCAGGACAAGGCAGGTATTTGACCGCAATCATACTAAGACTTGGTGTTAAGTAAGATGCATTATTAATGTTAATTTAGATGGTTATTTTGTTCTACCATAAAAATATGACTTGTTTCTTAAAACCGAATGAAGAATGTATGAAGTTTGCTTTGCACATTCTTACGGATGATACAGCTCTATCTAAGCTATTGTGTAAGGTATAAAACTATGACATAGGTGCAACAGGTGCTATTTTAATAAATTACAATCAGATTTAATCCTATACTACGTAATTTACCGAATATATCCGTAAAAATTAAATTGAAAAAAATGGCTATATGCACCGCCAGTTTCTTCAAAGATCACCCTGTATACAAACACTTTTAATTACTAATCACAAGACTGCACAGACAACTGATTTGTAGAGCGAGATAGACCGAATAGTTTCAACGATAGAAAAGGATAGCAAACACGTATACTCGAAAGTGCATTTGGTGCATTGACCGCTAGTGAATACAGGCTTTGTTTGTATGTCTGTTTGATAAATAGGGTATTCAGGGCAGCCCTTAGGTTAGTTCCTGGGCTAATTGTTGTAGGATGTAGCCAGGATGTTTAGTGATCCGACGGATGAACGGCGTTATAATCGGGACTATGTGTTTTCAGTGGTTAACATAATTTTGTATTTCAAGGTAGGCACTGAAGCTGTAGGCATATTTCTAAACCTTTTGCAAATTGCTTAATTATTTGGTTTTAATTGCTACATTATTTATAAAAAGTAATAACAAACACTGTATAGATTGACATACTAATAAAATCTAAGTTTTCTCCGACTGCATTTAAATCTTCATAATTTACATCAGGGGGTCTCTAGTCAAAATGCACTTTTTGATCGAATCGAAAATCGAATCCGTCAAAACTCCATACAAAAATAGGGCTTTTCGACCACTTTTCGACTGGTTTGCGATTATAATTTGCACTTTGTCTAGACCCACAGGG